GAAAGCTCGTGGAAATTTTCTACACTGCTTTTAAAGTCCATTTTTCACTAAATTTAGATAAGTACTTTTCATTTATTGTTCAGATATTTCAGTGGTTTTGAGACTTTATTTAAATTCTTTTTGATATAATTTTATATGCCATAAAGATGAATTTATTATAATTCCAAACGTTGGAGTTTTGCTAGATGAAATTTTCTACGAAGTAAATCTTTTATGGGACTTGTCTACGAATAATTTATATGGAATTAAGTAGTGCACAATACCTGTGGAGTCTGGAACTTTTTTGTAGTTCAAGGTGATGATCCACACCTGTGGTAAGTGCCATATAGTCTTTCCAACGTTAATTGCGACCACTGTTGCTGTTTTGTCATAAACATTTTAACCGTTTTGAAAAACCACCTACAGCTTAAGATTCGTGATATTTGCTCATCTTGACATCTCACATTTTGATGTTGGATGCTGACGTGGCATCAAAAGTACTGAAGAGTCGGCACGCATTCATTCGATTCCGGTAGAATGCATGTGCGGTGCCCGGCGTCGTCTTTCTTTCAAGATTTAATGGGGAAAAGCTTGGTTGCCTCACTTGGAGGAGAAATTTCTGAGTTCGTGTTGTTGGGTTTTGGTGCACAGGTAAAAATTTGGTAAAATTAATAAGCGCTCGTACAACATCGTTTGACGTCGCGAAACTCAGGACAGGTTAAGGCTCATCTACAGCTTTACTCCATGCAACTTTCATTTACAGGATGTTGAGGGAACTGGTACTGGAGAATGAATTTATTACATATGGCTTTTGTTCATGGCAATGAAGTGAATTCGTGAATTCATGTTTCATGACATTTGTTTTGTTGTTTTACTTGCTTTTATGGTCTGTTGCATTGTAAGGAAAATACTCTCTAACCGAATAGGCCTATTCTATACGAAAGTAATTCGCGAGTACTTTTACCTCTATTAGGCGACGGTACTGCCATGCATAATACACTGAGAAGTGACTGCACCTAAATGACCCAAACGTCACCTCAAAGAGACAGCATTACTGCGTTCGCACGGTATTCATCCAGCTTCGTAGCGGTGATCATCTTTGTAGGGTTACGGCTGAGCAGTTATATGCCCTCTGTCACTATGATCCCATGGGACGGTATATGACGATTCGGCGCAGCCGATTGGGCGCGGGACGTTTCGATGCCGATCGATTGTCGTTGTCAATGTGCAGCCTTGTGGCGCGAGTTTGAATCTGTTCGATTCGACAGT